TGACTGTATAGGGTTTGTGAGGTGAATCATGGTGAGTCTATATCATCCTACTGGAGTCTCATTCGTGCCAGACTAGTTTGACTTTAATATCTTCAGCACCAGACGGTGATAAAACATGAGAGAAGTTTGCTGAGCCAGTCCAATGCGTCATCACCACTGTTCCCGCCCGTCAACAGCAATTACGCGGCCCAGATTTGACACTTTTTGGGTCGAGCAGCCAGATTCTATCGCGGAGGGCATCCATCACTTCATCCTTGGGCGGGGCTGTCATTACAACATCTCAGACTGTCAATCAAGCAGACTCCAGACATGTCAAGTCATTCCTGTGAATGGAGGCAACTCTATCTCATCCCAACAGCTGGTACTGGGTATTGGAAGCAATTGCTTTCTTTGTACAGGTAAAAGGATGCCTAGTTCGTGCCCCGTAACAATTTGGAGCAGCAAAATGGGTGCAGGGGAGAACTACTTTTTTGTGCACACCTGTATGGGTCACATTCACAATTACAATTTACAAGCACTTGCAGCACAGAATTTTTCTGACACAAATCATTTTCTTTCCCTGTAAGAGGTTATGTTTCTCGTACTGTCTTGAATTTTTATTCCATTGAAATTAGGATATAGAATACAAGTGCAGGGCTTGAAATGCTTCAGCATCAACTTGTGCTGGAGCAGGTAACATTGAAAATTTCATGTAAGTTAGACAAATTTCACCTGCACCACTTGGTTGACACTAAAAACTTATGGTTCACCTAAAACCATTGCCATTGTTTCTTTTATACATCATTGGTGGTAACCCAGTACATGGCCCAGTGCAGGTAGAAATCAGAAATACCTGCACCTGTCAGCTTTAAATTTATCTGCACTAACCTGCATAAGCAGGTGGCATTTCAAGCCCTGAACTGTGAATAGTAAAGAGCCAGTTAGATACATGTAGATACAGTAACTAGTAACCTGAATATTCAGATGGTATTTCCAGCCTGCATATGTTGTAGGTGTAAGGTACCTGTCCTTGGTGCTGAAAATAAAGCAGTGGTTGTGGCCAGGTTTTCAATGTGCTCAGAAAACCGTACAATCTGTAGTCTTGAAGCAAGATGTGGAAAGAAAGAATTGAATAGCAGGGAGCATCTGGTAATTTAAGGATATCTACAGTCTGAATCTAATGATTTCCTCAACTCATGCACAGTAAAATAGACTACGGACACTACTAATAGTACTGCCATAGATCTAGACTGGTCACATGCATGTTAATGTCTTAGCTCTTAAAGGTAAGCACTGTGCTGTATCTAGTTCAAGCAACCTTCTTGGTCCAAGCTATGAAAATTCAAGTATTATACCATCAAAGTTTGCATTGACATAAATCCATGGTAGGATTTTATTCTGTTCTGGACAAAAGACAAGATCATTGGACAATGAACAGTCATTTAATTGTACATGAAACATTGCTCTCGAGGCATCATCATTAAAAATCCTTCAAACACCAAGTGCGAAATGAGACTATGGACCATTACTCCATCCAATAAAAAGGGTCATTAAGTATGTTCCTATCTCAGTGTTACAACCGTCCTCATGTTTATTACCACAGTGACTGTTACAGCCACTACAATGGGTTCATGCCAGGTGCATCATGCCAGGAATCTGAATGAATCCTGTACACCTGAATCTGAAGGAGGATTTTTTGTTACACGTCACCTATGTGTACTACCCACATTTTCTGTGTAACTTGAATGTGAATTTGAAAAATTTCTTGTGAAACTTTTGTTTCAATGACAGAATGGTCCTCAGTATTTTGAGTTTTTCAAAAGCCCAATACTCCCATGCTTTACTCTTTTAATAAAACTTGAAGCATATATGCAATAGCTTGTATGCCTAAATTCTGACATTCTATCTTTTACCATTGCAAAAAAAGTCTAAGGTTTTCAAACAGTTGATTTCAAAATGTGAAAGATACACTTGGCATGATGTTTAATTCTTGGTACAGAAATCAAGCCAATATTGTAAGTCAGACATGAAACATTATTGTCATTGTCATGGACATTCTTTGCTCCGAGTTTAGCATGATTGAAAAGAACTTCATGGAAACAAGACACCGCCATAGATAACACCACGAGACCACGACATTGAGATGCATACAGTTGCGTCCTGAATGACAGTCATCTGTTCGTATTACGACCTGCGTTCCTCTCGCCTGCAACATTAGCTCTCTTATAGCTGCGATTAGCAAAGGTCACAAGCAGCAGTAACCGAGGGGAATCTATTTTGTACGTGACCATTTTGCCAGTACAACTACCCTGCAGCTGTATGGAGACACAAATCAGACACTTTTCAATCAAGACAAGGTGGTAAAACATAAGCAGTCACTGTCTGATACATGTAGTTATCACTAAGGATCATAATCAAGGAAGATACAATCTATAACTACAGTAGTAATATCTATGCTTCACTCAAATAACGGCAAAAGCTGAACTGTATATTCAGTTAATCTTATACTGTGACTTATAAGTGGAAACTTAGGAATATTGAGAAAATTTTTTGTTCAGTAAAATGTTCATTGTGTAGTTGAAATGTTGTACAAGATGATGTTAGAGTTACATTATTCAAAAACCTTTCCTGGAGGTAACATCTTGAAAAGAAATCATAATAAAAAATGGAATTTTGAGTCCTCTTTACCATCAAAATTTGCTAAAACTACATGTGTATGTCTAGTGGAAAACTGGATGTTTGTTTAGAAGATGTGAATACAATTTTCAGCGGAAACATTTGGAGTCTGCACATGTAGCCCTGCAATGGCTTTGATCAATCATGTCCACTGTACTTGATTTGATTACACAAAAGGTCTCAGCCTTTGTAAGACGAAACTCGCCTCGCTGGACGAGTTGAAAGACCAAACAGCCCCCACCCCATTGGCTGGGCATCTTTACAACTCTCAAGGTCAATGGGGTCATGGCTGAGAAATGAACACAGCAGTGATGCTCCATTTACCATAGGTAATAGAAAGTTCAAAGTTCTACCAGTCTTTGAAAGATTTGAAGAATAAAAAAAGTAGTGGTAATCTTTCTTGCAAGTACCATGTAAATTCTGATCTACAGTTTGTATTGGTTGTTTAGCGACTGATATTTTAATGTCAACGTGATATATATAATCATAAAAGTTAGTAACTACAATGTATATAAAGCTACTAGAGGGCATAAATTCTACACTCGTAACTTGGCATCAACTATCATAAATTTCTGACTTTACGAGAAGAAACTTTGCAAACTGGTTATCTCTTCCTGCATATTATTACAGCAACTATTTTTCAGGATTTACATACAGAAGTGTCTGGCAAAATATGTTTGAACAAAATTTATTATCTTAAAGAAGAAGAAGGTACACTTTTAATTTGAATCAAATATCACATTTGGAGCTGGCATTAAACATTTTTCTACCCAGTTTGGATGGTTACTGACTTGTCATGGTTTGAAAAACTTTTTTTCTGCATACCTTCACTGGTGCAGGTAATATTGAAAATTACCTGCACCAGACCGATTTTTCCTGCACCACTCAGACTTTTAGAAGTATGGATCATACTACAACTGTTCAGGAATTTCATTAACTGTTATATCTTTTAAACTTTAAAGGTGGTGACAGTCAATGCATCAAACATAAATTAACATACACCTACATTTGTACATGTAGCATTATATACAAACCTAGTACATGGGCCGGTGCAGGTTAGGTGCAGGTTATCAGAAATACCTGCACATCCCCAAGGTTACCTGTATTAAGGTACATATGCACCCAGTATTTTGAGCCTTGCTTGTGCACTCGTTGCACATAGGTGAGAAGAAAAAGGATGACAGAAATCTTGTGGTGACATCTCTTGACATCTGCAGTCAGCTACATGACCCAAACCCTCCACACGTCTTATAATCACATCAAATCGATGTGAGATTGACGCAAGGTGTCGTCTCCCGTGAACTGCCGCGGTTCACCCCTGCTCCCGTGTCTTACGGTCGCCACCGAATGAATCTCAATTTCCCAGAAGGTGTCCTTCCAGATTCACCCTAATCTTTCTGGAGAGGCAGACAACAAGTTTCTTCCTCATCCCGAATTCCATCTGCGTCTTCATGTTAGATTAAGTTTGTTGACTGATTTATGGACAGCTATCAAGATGCTGAGGCAAGCTTACTGAAAATACCTCAAATTTACACCTACATCAGCTGTATTATAGCCACATCAACAGCTAACATTGTGATAGGATTAACCATTCCATTACTTGAATGACAGTGATTGACAATGCATGGGAAATGTATTTGCTATGCATTCTTTATGCATTCGTGAGGGAATTCGGAAAGCACTGTCTGCTGTTTAGTACAATTTACTTTTATACAATAAAAAACTTCAGTTTGACATCATTTCAAAACTGAGAGCACAGATATAAACTTCATTTCGAATTCATTTGCTATCTCGGGAGGGACATTTTTTGTAAGGTCTTAGATATAATCATTCACTCCTAAAGATCTAACAAAGCCTATGACAGAGATCTGTGTGCAGTTTCCACATTACTGGGCCTCTAGGCATGAAGAAGTTTTGATCACAGCTTTGCAAATGTATTCATAGATCTATGCACATATCTGACCCAAAGGCACTGGGCTTTGCCAAGCGGCATATGTAAAACTCAGCACAAGAAGACTGGCAACTACATTGTATAATCTTTACTGAAAAATGCTGTACATGTCACATAGTTCAGGATTGACTGATGCTCTGACATGGTATTCAAAACACCTCCTCCCCCCCACAAAAAAAATGCCCTAGGAATGTCAAAGGAGGCTAGGTACCCATCATGTCTTCTAGAAGAAGTCTTGAGTAAAGCATCACATCCAAGAAAGCTTAGCTCGAATTAATCTAGTACTTTTGTGGTAAGACAAGAATACTGCCCCATCTTTGGCACATTTTGGACTTTTCCAATGGTGCAAAAATGTGGCTAGACTTGATTTCAGCTCTTTTGTCTTTTTTGACAGCAACTTATTTCTGTCCATCCAACATTGGGAAGTGTTCAACTTAGCCTTTCTGCAGCAGTGAGGAAAGTGGGTCAATGGATAGATACAGCTAAAAAGCCTGTGAGTCATTTGTACCGAATAAAAGTAAAAACTTTTAAGTATACTATTTAGCATTCCTATCATGATCAGACTAAGACTTCAGAAAGATGACCATCTATGCCAGGTCTCTTGCCAGGCTTTCTTGACTTAACGCTTTACGATTACGCATACCGTAAAAGTGCTCTCCATCACCTTTAGCATAATGGCCGTGCGTCATGTTTCGTTTTCCCCCTGAACTCGGAGATCTTTATGGCCCATTAAAACTTTCAAAATATCCCGGACCCGGAGCGGCAAAAAGCTCTAAGGACTTGACATGCCATCAGGGGGATGGAGTTTGTATCCTGCAGGACACTGTGTGAATGATGATGCTATAATAAAGCGTGTTTTTGTATTCACCTCCAGTTGGGTTCCGGACGCGTACGAGGCCTCCGGGAAGTAGACCACTTCTTGGACCTCGTTAGCCGGACGGTCGGAATTCTTGGCGAAGATGATGTGCCCATCCGCGGTGGCTGGGGGTAAGGCGATGAACGTGTCACATGACTTGGGACAGCGATGTGATTGGTCAGCCATCCTGGGGTGGACACAGGAGAAAAGTCATGATCAGAACGGCCACAGAATCATGGCTCCCCAGTGGAATACTGGAGATGGGCTCATAGCAGGTCTTTATGGATATGACAGCAGTGTATAGGCCTATTTACTTTATGACCAGACTTTTGTATGGACAGTGGAGAAAGCTACATTTTTAGTATATATATTTCCAGATTAGTACAATAAAACATATCCACACACATATATTATAGGCATACATGTTCACATATCATGCTTCAAAAGTGAAGCAATGAGTGTGTGTGTGTGTGTGGCATATATGTTAAACAGCTCTTCATACATTGTAACACTAATTTGCATGGAAAAAATTTGGTTTATTATGTTTTGATGATTTCTAGCAGTGTTGCGTGAAGTAAATTATACATTTATTATTTCTATTGTAAGGGTTAGTGTTGAAATAACAGCTGCAACCTGCAGATAAATTTTTGGGCTCTTTTGGGATAGTAAAATAAAGAACTTGCAATTTGGCAAGGCAAAACAATACAGTCAAGCTCAGTATCAAGCAGGTACTAAAAAAGTACAGTATAGCAGAAAAGTATGTGCACCACTGGTGTTGTTTACCAGGTCCTGGTTAACTTGAAAGTTGCTCCACCCAGCTCTAAAAACAGCCAAGGCATCACAAGTCTCACCAGGTTCCTTCTATAAGCCACCTCAAAGGTACGGAGACAAATGACCACAGCACAAGTTTCATAACGTCTAGACAGCCCCTTGTATGGGCCCAGGTGTGGACTCGGAAATTACAGATATCAATACCGGCACAAAACACAGTTAAGCACCACAACAGGGGGTTTAAATACACCCTGTGAAAATCAATGCCAGCTTGTTGCTGGGTATGGATTGCGGAGGTACGAGTGCCGGGATTTGCTTGTCGCACTATTAGCTTCCATTAGGCCAGAATTGTGGGATATTGCAACACCAATTGGGTGCCATGCTGCGAATAACGGCACTTGGCAGGCTTTTACACTTATTACCGAGCGACGGGCCTACTTTTTATCAATGACATTTTGCCGCCTGAAATTGCCATGTTGACGTCTTTATTTACACTTGTACAGCATACCATAAGTCTACGGAGACTGTTTTAACGACGATGAACACAATAATTGTCCGTGTCTTTCTCCTGTCCAAGCCTGGAACTGAGCCCGACACAGACGCCAGGATCGACCAAAGAAAAACAATCAGTCTTATAATGTACGGGGTGATTTATTAGGGCTCAGCTGTTGGGTAATCTTGCCTGCATTTTGTTAAGGCATTTAAATCCATGGCTGTCCATATTCCCAGCCATCTCCAAGATGTGTTGCAATCAAGGCTACTCTAATGGCCTGGCAGAACCCTGCATAATGCTACAGGCAACTTTCCTTCTCGATACAGTCATATTACAACAAAGAAGAATGCTAAGGGTTTTTTTCAGAAAAAAATATGGAGCGACAGGGAAAAAAAACACAGACTTGGGTATGATAGTAGCCCCAAATGCTGAAGTCAACATACCAGGCTGGTTTGTAATTCAAACAATGAATTTTGAACTTTATACTAAACCACTGCATTGATAGATGGAAAAATGTAACAGCTCTGAAGAAAAGGGACTTTCTTCAACTGTTAGAACCAAAATATGAGCATTTTGAAGTTGTTTCAGAGCCTAAATTATTTTTTTGCAAATCAGAAAAAAACAGAGCAGGCGGATTCGAGTAAAAATCATTTAAATTGGTGTAGCCTTAAAAAGGTTTTCGTTTCAAAGCAATGCAGAAATAGGATAATTCCATTGTACGAATGCAGATAATGCAGTAAACCTTTCAGTTTGAATGAAGACGTTAATACAGGTAATGTACATACATATTTATGAGTACCACATAGCCCTTGTTTATTATTCAATGCAGCGATACTCGTATTCACTGTGCTTACTCATGTACAGTGGATCTTACGTCTGACTTACAACTATTGAATATCTATTTTGCGGAGACTGAAACATCAATACTCACACGTCCTCGGCTACTGTGTGAGAAATGAAAATAAAACCGTGGAATTGAGCCGCCATAAAATAGATCCAGAACATCGATTAGCCTGGCTGCTTTTGCATGATGGAATTAGTCTTGCTCCAGTTTATCAATTGTTACATATGGAGTCAGGTGGCTGTCCTAACGACTGCTTAAAAAAGGGCAAAAAAGGCTGGCTGGGATAGCTTAAATGATTCACACCTCATTGTAGCCAACAGTGTCACCAAACCTTAAAGGCATCCAATGCAATTTTAGGGTGGCAAAACTGGATTTTCTAAGTCAAATTTCTGTTCATTTTTTTAATGTTAATATTAAGTTGAATCAATCCTATTCCATAGCATACTGATATCTTTGAGGAAAAAATGCAATATCGCTGACAGAAAATGGTATAATTGTAGACTGGTTCTAGCTATTTATGGGCGGTACCCAAAAAGTAAAGAGATGCCTCACATGGCTTGTTTTGGGGCTATTTCAAATGATTCAAGTATGAAATGATGCTGAAAATGTGCTAAGAAATGGCAGTTAATGTCAATGTCAGAATAATTTCCTCATCCAGAATATTTTCTATTTTGTCACCCAGCCCTTAAACAGTCTTTTTACAACAATTTTGCCACAGTGCTTCAACCTTTGTAGTCAGACTTTACAATGTCCAGTACTAGTATGAAACTGTGCTTCAAGCAATCCTGAATTAAGAATTTTTACTTTTGAGACCATCAGAATCAACCTAAGGTCTATCAAAATATGCCCAAATTTACCTTGAATCAGTAAATTCTTACCCCCATGTAATAGCATCTATCAACATTCATTGCCGGCCTGGGAATTTTGACCAGAAAAGCAGCGAGCCAGTCCCATAATTAATTCATACCCGAGCGTGGTACCTCTGGAAATATATACCAGGAACCCTCACTACAACATTTATACCCTCCGGACGGGTTTCGATAATTCAATCTGCGCTAAATAGACACATCAAAACATGATCATGACACTATCAAGATGGAAAAGGTGGGTACCTTACAGCTTACACAGAAGGAACAGACGTTTCTGACAGCGAAATAGAGTAAGTTGCTTATCTGTGCTGGCCAGCTTCTACGTTCTGAACAGGAACATCCCACTTTCCTGAGGGACAGACCACTCTTACTTCCTGGGGAGGTTCTCACAATTGCCTGTTCTTCTCTATATAGTACAATAGTCACGAGTAGTACAAAAGAAGAATAACAGCCATGCATACTGGTAAACTAGGTATGGCCAAAAAAATGATCATAGGAATTTGGTTTTCATCATATTATTGGAGGCTTAATAAAATTGCCACAAAAATATAGGGCACTGATTTCACTTTCTTGCAATCTGGATATCCTGTAGTCTTGATGTTGTACATGACACATATAAATATTGTCCTTGGAACAGGATATAGGGATTTTCTTCTTACACAGCCGGTAATGTTTCTCACCTGCTTAAGTTTTGATGCCTGTTAGACATCTCTAAGCATATCTGACGCATCAAAATGGTAGCAGGTAAGAAACATTACCAGTTGTGTAAGACAAAAATCCCTATATCCTACGTCCTACCAACCTGATGAAATTGTTTTCAGATGCACTTGGAACTGTTGAAATCTGGGTGTGCACAAACATATATTACACGCATATTAACTGCATCCAGTCAGCAACTCTGTTAATTCAAAGTTGGAGACAAGTGAAGCTTGTTGTTTGGTCATGTTTCTCAACTTCATCATTGTGAGAGAAGTTGAGACCAACATAAGGCCTGCATTCAAGTATAACATTTACCGAATTTGAGGCAACATCTGTCTGTGACATTGTGAATGGAATAATGACATGTTGACTTCACAGTGACATCTGCTTTATCAGTGGGGATTAACCATTAATAGCTCCCATAGGGACGCATCTGATATCACTTTAACAATGTGACAAGTACCATGCTGAAGCAAAGTAAAAATCGCATGCAAACCATTACTATTCTTGGTCCCTATAACATTAATGAAGTGATGATGCAAATTTTGCTAATACACTAAATTTTGCATGAGAAATTGTTTGGCAATAATTATTTCAATAATTATAAAATCAACTTAATTAATCAAGATTTGGTTCCTTAAATCCTCTGAATACAAAGTATTTCTCATTGTCATTTGTGGATACTGGAAATACTGAATAATAAACCTACCATACCATACCATCTTTTAAAAAAAATGAGACTATTGAGACCAAGAAGGTCACAACATTGGTCCAAATTGACATTGACTGATACAACTTAACGTTACAGGAAGGCTGTATAAATCATGCTTGATTTCTCTGGGGAAACATGGAGGAAACGCAGGTTCACACATGAATTATGCAAAATAACCAGGCCGAAAACGTTGTTATATTCTCACATCGAATCATTGGCACTAGATCTTGATTAGGACCAATAGAATACTTCATATTCACACATTGATTCACACTTTTTTTCTGTTTTCTGACTGACCCTACAAAAAACTGCTGACACTAGCCTTTTTTTTGGGTGGACCCCTGCAAATTTTTTGAGCTGATCACCCTTCTCTAGCACCATAATCTGACACCTAAGTGATAAAACATTGTACAATTGGTTTCCAACATTGACATTGAAAATAAAAGTGTCCTCATGCAAGTTTTCCTTTGTTAAACTAAAGTTAGATCACTAGAGATTGCCAAAGTCTAAAAAAAGGGAACAAAAACAAAGAAAAAAGATAATTCCTACCTACCGACCCTATTTTTGGGGGGACTGAAACAGGAAACACATTTTTTTCCTAGGCCTAATGTCAGTTTACTTTTCCTACTGTGTTTATAAAGAGCTCATTGTACTTACAATCATAAGTCAAAGTACTGATTCATACACTCAAGTTGAATTTCACTAGTATAGTTTTGCTCTGAATGCTAAATAATTCCTAAATCAAAAGGATGATTACTGGTATTTTGATTTAAAAAATTGGCTGCCACTTTCTTACTAATCTTAGGTTCCAAATTCTGTGGTCTGATCTGGATATACTGAACAGTTTTCCCTTCACTATTTAATATTACTTAATTGGTCTAGGGATATGACCAAGGAAAATAAACAAAGAAACAAAACAAAACAAAACAACAATTAAAACCATCAAAATCCATTTATTGTTTTTTATGCTTCTATTCATGAGGAATCCCAGGGATATGACCAAGGAAAATAAACAAATAAACAAAAGAAAACAACAACAGTTAGTAAATCCATAAAAATCCATTTGTTGTTTTTTATTCATCTATTCATGAAGAATCCCATTTACAAATAAACACCAAAGGAAACAAGAAGATGATGATGATGAACCCTTCTGTAGGAAGTACTGATCTGTACACATGTTGCTATGGCAACTGTTTATACAAGAATTGCCATGGCAACAATCTATACAGACATTGCCTTGGGAATGAATCTGTACTGACATTATCATGACAACAATCTATCCAGATTTCCATAGCAACAATCTAGATATTTGTCATGGCAACAATTTATACATGCATTGCCATGGCAACAATATATTCTACAGATATTGCCATTATATAGTAGCAATCTACATTGGAATTAATATGGTAACACTCTATATAGTTATGACATCATCAATAATATTGCATCATTATATTCAGTATTGATTTGAATGATAATTGAATTGGTTGATCAATCAATATTTAGAATAAATGATGATAATAACATGGTATATTATAAGCCAGTCTGAAAAAATCCTTTAAAAAACATGCTTTTATAACAGACTTAAACAAGAAGCCATAGGCGACAATTCTCCGTGAAGTTTTATATATTTCAACAAAATCCCAAGCGTCAACGCCAGACCTACTGTGCAGACATTATAATTAGGCAACGGTTAATACAATGAGGGCGCGTCACAAGCATAAAACATACAAAGAGCTAAATCCATTACTGCTCCCAGGGCGTGTAAAGATACTGTGCTTCAAGTTCTAACTTCATTTTAATTACACACACACAATCATTGCATTCACATAAAGATCGGACTATCATGGTCGTGTCTAGTAACAAAGACAGCCCCACCGTCTTACGGTGCCTGTACCTAATTAAGCGCGCCTGGAACAAGCCAAATTCCAGCAACAGTGGCGGTAAGCACCGCGAGTGTTACTACCGCCGGCCAGATAACCAGGATATCTGCTTACAGTACCTCTGCTACCAGACAACTGCCTAAACCTACGGTCTATTCCACAGGATTGTAAAAGTAGGGATGTTTCGAAAATAACCATTTACTCCAATATCAAAACAGCTACGGTAAAAATAAAAAGACGTGCATCATCCCGGACATAATGCAACACCACATGCGAAATTACACAGATATGCGACGTACGGCAGAATGCGTTTTGGCTGCGAACATCTTCCAAAAAACTTGGCATCTCTTAACCATGGGCAAAAACATCTGGAACCACTTATAAAAACCACCCCGTATCTGCATGAACTTTTACCTCCCCCCCCGCTATTCCAAACAACGCGTTTTTCTGGACCGTTCCAATTCGCCTCGTAATTGTAGGGGTGCGTCTGCGATATTACATTGACCGCGAAAGCAGCAACGGCAAAATACACATTCGTGCATCAACACGGGCATGCCCGCAGACGGCGTATAAAATTGCGTGCCGATTACACGAAGAGAACCCAGTGTTTTGACTGCGAACATGAAAATCAGCCGATTACAACACTCCGTCCGGAGGTCCTGACCTCCTTCACGGAGTAATTACATGGTATATGCATACAATTACGCAAACCTTTGGAGATGACCCCCAATTAAACACATAAAATGCACTGTCCCTGGGGTCATATAAATGATCTAGCAGAAACATCTAGAAATCTAGCTGAACAAGATAAGGGTAGTTAGACATGACATGCATGGAATTGAAATGACATCAAAACACACTGAACCATCATATTATGAAGGTTTTTCAAATACAGTCCTCTAAAGTACTGGTAGTTCATCATTTGGTCCAAACATGCATGTAATAATGATGATCCAAAAGACAAGATACTTTTCTTCAATTTTCTACAATACAAGTACAGTTTCTAGTAACTGTACCCTTATAACCAAACCTTTTTTCTAAATTACTAAGTGGAATATTGCTGGGTTAACAACTAACTGTATTAAAATCATAAATAGGAAGGTTGGCGATAGTAATTTTCCCGACTTCCCGAAATATGCACCATCCAATTTCCAGCTCCCTCATGTGGGTTATTGATGGAGCGTCCCTAATGGACCGTCTGGTCCAGAGACTAAGGGAAGACGAATGGGTCTGTGGGCCCTAGTCAAATAGCTGCCCTTCCGCCCAAGGAAAGTGATAGAGCCAGTGATCGCATTTTCTCCCCATCTCCGTGGCCGGAGCATACATGACGGGACACAACTGAGTGAACATAACGGTACCGTTACCTGGCGAGCCGGTCTCTCCCCAAGCCTCCGTGTGGTGGATTCGTTCCGCTTCCTTCCTTCAAGGGATCGGTGGGGAAACAGAGCCGGGACCGTGCGAGTAGGCTGGGCGTGGCAGGCAGGACGGAGGAGCGGGTGTCGTAGTCGGTCCGTTCCCGTTAGACGTGGCGAAAGGGGCCGGGCCACTGGCCGTATGGGGGCTGGACGACTTGAGAGTGAAAGTGATGTCGCGATTGATGGAAAGGTCACGTGACGCAATGGGTCATGTGATGTTTCCTGGCAAAACTTTCTTACAAAAGAAATAATTCATGCTAATAAAGGTAGTTTGTGGACGTATGGAATATAACTAACAAAGCTGATACGCAATGGGACGTTTGGAGAGAGATGAAAAATCGTCCGCTGTAAATTTCTGCGTCCTTGTTTACTTTTGACTGACCAGGAAACACCCCTGACCCCAGGAAATGGCACAGTCCAGCCTGTCCTCAATATTAGGGGCTAATAATTTTGACACAATAAGACAATACACAGAAATAAAGGTTACTGCGCACTTCAATTGACATGGTTATTGTTTTATGGTTATAGTGGGTCACAGTATGACGCAGGATTGTTGGGGAAAATTTTTCACTATAAACACCCCCATTTGCAGAGTGTAGCATTCCATCCATGATGGCGGCCAAATAGTGAAGTTCGGACAGACGCACTTCAATTCTCTACACATTTTCAGCTATTCTTTGCCTCTAAGAAGACACCAAAGAACAAAATCACAAGATGGGGAAGTCCTTCGCTAATTTCATGTGCAAGAAAGACTTCCACCCGGCCTCAAAGGCGAACATCAAACGGGTAAGCAGAGGCGTCGTTTCGCCCCCCCCCCCAAACATCAAATATTTTTTATTTCAACAACAACGTTATATGTGCGTTTTGTGCACGTTCTTCACGATTTAAAGGGATCTGTGTACCCAAAATGTATACATAAATCTAAATATTGTTTTATTATGCCACTAACAAAGGTAACAGAATCTTCGACATGATTAGACTAGGGCTGTAGTGTAGCCGTGGCGACTCTTGAATCGGGCTTACATTGCATTACCCTCAGCAAGAGTCGTGGAAAGATCCATTGGCAGAACTGCACATTTCCCGTTGGCTGCCCGATGCTCCGTTTTTGACCCGGTTTTTTGCTGTCCCGAGCTTCCCTACAATATAACTCCACAATTGGCTGGGTTGCCGATGTTTAGATCAGCCTAAATATTCCACAGCGCGACAGAAAAGTAGTGAAATAGCTAGTCGGCACATCCGGGCCGCCATCTTGGATATAGTCGGGAATGTCCGCTACCGCCGTCGGGAACGCTCGGTAGCCTTTCCGGTTATAAACGGAGAGCTTTCGGTCGGGCTTCGGTAATCGTGACGCTACCGAGCGTTCCCGACGGCGGTAGCGGACATTCCCGACTATATCCAAGATGGCGGCCCGGATGTGCCGACTAGCTATTTCACTACTTTTCTGTCGCGCTGTGGAATATTTAGGCTGATCTAAACATCGGCAACCCAGCCAATTGTGGAGTTATATTGTAGGGAAGCTCGGGACAGCAAAAAAACGGGTCAAAAACGGAGCATCGGGCAGCCAACGGGAAATGTGCAGTTCTGCCAATGGATCTTTCCACGACTCTTGCTGAGGGTAATGCAATGTAAGCCCGATTCAAGAGTCGCCACGGCTAGGCTGTAGTGTAGCACTAGTTACATGCACATGTACTTACGTATAAATTTTTACTAGAAGGTCGGCCTCGCCAAAAATGTATGTAACGTTAACAGTTAACATATAACGTTATATTTTATGAATTTTGATACAAAGTTTATTAGTGATACAAAGTTTTGTAATGTACTAAATTATAGTACTAATAATATGTTTCTATTACTTGTCTTTTTATTACCCTAGGTGCCATCCAATTTGTAACGGCTACTCCAAAATTTTTTCGGGGGAGCCATTACAAATCGGATGGTACCCAGGCTAGTCCTTTATGTGCTGTGTTTCATTATATCAACACCAGACATTCAAACATCAAGAAATTCTTGAAAGCCTTGCATACATAATTTGGTACGGTTGATTTGGTTTATCAGTCACGTAGAAGTATCAGTTAGTAGAATATTCCTTCATCACAAAAAAATTGGAGACCTGTACGTGTTTCTACCTTTCAAAAAGAGTCACTGATTAAGGAATATTCTACGAAATGATAATTTGGTACCTTTAGCCTATTTCCAATGCATTTCATATACATGTCCACCCATCTTAACCAACTGACTCTCAAATATTTCAGGTGTGGATGGCCCAGCAGAAAGTCGAACATGAGAAGTTGAAGCAAGATGAGCTGGCTTCTCAGTACCACAAGGAACAGGAGATGTTTGAACACAGGTCAGCCAATCACAACTAAGCTGTCTCTTTATGTTTACTTTCATAGTTCTAATCTAAGGAAAACACGGGGTTGGACAAGTTTTTAAAAATCCACTTGCCCTACCGGGCAAGTACCTGGTCATTTTCACTTGCCCGAACCAACTTTTCACTTGCCCAAAATATGACGCATTTCTATTCATTTTACTAGCAGAAAGGAAATTATTTTATTGTAGAAGAGTTTATTTATTGGATGCTTTATTCATCAAAATTGTTTGAAACTTGATCGAAATAATGCAGGGGCTATACTTTCACTCACTCACTCACTCAAGGCCGCATGCTTCCATGGGGAGCGTAGCGCCTCGGCATATGGATCTCCAGGTGGTTCTGTCCTGGGCTGCCTCCCACGCAGTGTCGAGGTTGAGGGAGACAGTCAGAAGATCATCCTTCAGTTGATCGCACCAGGTTCGTCGTGGGCGGCCTCTAGGACGGGACCATGTAGTGGGGGCCGACTCTCTCAGTAGAGCAGCAGGCTCCAGGGGGGGCACCGCCCGAGCAATATGGCCAAAGAGCCGGAGCCTGGCCAGCCGTATCTTACTGGTCAGGGGAGGCTGTTTGGTGATGTCACGCAGGGTGGCGTTAGATACTCCATCAAACCACCTGATGCCGAGCAGTCTTCTAAGGCATCTGGTGTCGAAGGCGTTAACACGGAGTTCATGGGTGGCTGTTAACGTCCACGTCTCAGCGTTGTACATAAGGATGGATAGTACCAAGCTGTTGTAGAGCCTAAGTTTGGTCTGTAGTGAGAGCTTCCGGTTGCTCCAGACGTTGTCCAGGCTAGCCATCGCAGCGGAGGCACGGCCGATGCGGAGATGGGATATCGGCGTCGCTCCTGCAGTCCGAGGTGATTGTGCCGCCGAGGTACGAGAACCGCTCTACAGATTCAACCTGGCGGGCGTTGATCACAGGACCCGGGCGGGGGCCTCGAAGTCACTAAGGCACTGTACCTTGGTCTTTTCCCAACTGACCATCAACCCAAGTGGTTGGGTTTCCGTGTCCATGGCCTGTAGGGCAAGTTGGAGGACTTCGAGTACCTCGACCAGGATTGCCACATCATCTGCAAAATCCAGGTCTGTGACGGTGAGATCACCAAAGCTGACACCGCAGTTGCACTGCTCCACAGTTCTCCCCATGACGTGGTCTATCGCAACGTTAAAGATGGTTGGGGCTAACACACAGCCCTGTCGGACGCCGCTTTTGATAACGAAGCTGTCAGAGAGTAGACCGTTTACTTTCACACGGGAGGACGTGTTAGAGTACAGTAGAGAGAGCAGGTGAACCAGCTTGGCAGGGACACCTAGGGCCTTGAGTAGAAGCCAGAGAGCATTCCTGTCCACCGAGTCGAAGGCCTGTTTCAGGTCGACATAGGCTGCATACAGCGGTTTCCTGAATTCCCGTCTTTTCTCGGCAAGTAGGCGGAGAGTGAGAATCCTGTCCACCGTGGAGCGGCCAGGGGTGAAACCGCTTTGCTCCTGTCTTTGCTTGCGGAGGAGAAGAGGTCGCAGCCTTGCGAGCAGGATGTTAGCAAACACCTTCCCGGGCACGCTGAGCAGGGTGATCCCTCTATAGTTGCTGCATACATCTTTCGGGCCCTTCTTCCAAAATGGAAGGATGACTCCCAGGAGCCAGTCCGCTGGAACAGTGTCGCTCCTCCAGATGATAGTAAAGAGCTGTTGGAGCTGTCCTGCAAGCGAGTAGCCACCATGTAACAGCAACTCTGGGGTGATGCCATCATCCCCTGCAGCCCTGCCGGGTTTAAGCTTCCCTATTGCCTTGACCACTTCCTCCAAGGTGGGGGGACCCATGGGAACAGAGTCGTCCTCAATGGCCGTGGCAGCAAGTGCATCCAGGAGAGGAGAAGGGGGAGGCGCTGGGCGGTTGAGCAACGTCTGGAAGTGCTCCCTCCAGCGCTCCAGCTGTTGCTCTGGGGTGTCAGGGATGGTACCATCCATGGCTTTCACGGCAGCAGTAGACGAAGATGTTTTCCCCGATAGAGTCCTTAGAGTTCTGTAAACAGAGCCTTGGTCACCTCTACGGGCAGCCGCCTCTGCCTCCTCTGCTAGGTTGTCAAGCCAGTTCTGCTTGTCCTTGCGGAGTAGCTTGTTGCGTACCGAGTTGAGCCGTCTGCACTCCAAGAGGTTTCCATCCAGTCTGGCTTTCCTCGTTGCCTCCACGATGCTTAGAGTTTCCTCTGAAAGGAAGTCCTTCTTCTTCCTCTTGCGTTTGTGCCCTAGCACCCTAGTTGCGGCAGCAGCGATGTTTTCCTTTATGTCTGACCAGAGTTTCTCCGGGCTGGCTGCATCTGGGTCGGATGGTAGGGCAGCAAAGCGGTTATGGAGTTCCAGCTGAAAGTGGGTTACTACTTCAGGGGACCGTAGCTTTGACACGTCAAACTTGCGTTGCGCTTTGCTGGAGGAGTTCCTTTGGAGACGGCTATACTTTGCATCCTAAAATTTACTTGTCCAATCGGGCAAGTACAGGGGGATATTTACTTGCCCGAACAGTACTTTTACTTGCCCTGGGCAAGTGGGCAATGGGACTTGTCCAACCCTGGAAAACATATTGTTTTTTGCATTGTTTCTTCTTCTTCAGTTCCAAACACACAAGGTCAATGATCTGGTTCAGACAACTGTCACTATGGTAACTGGTGCTGTAGCAGACACCCCATGGTGATGGGTTACATAATGTTGCATGTTGCAAGACACAGTTGGATTAGTGTCACCTTACACATGAATCTGTTTGAGTAAAGATAAACAGAGCAGTATTCAAAGAAAAATCAAACTCTACTACTAGTACTGGATAAATAACATACTAGATATTATCCAGTAGTAACTTAGAGTTTGATTTTTCTTTGAATATTGTTTACCTATTGTCTAACCTTCATCAATGTAAACAGATCAGCAGTTTGTTAGGCTACACCATGTGAAGATAAACATTATACATTTGCAAATGTTCTCTTCTAGTTCCAGATTTTTTTACAGACACAGACAGGTAGCAAGTTACTAGAACAACATGTATTTTGATGGCAAGAAATGGGGTCTGCCTATCAGTGAATGATTTTCCATTATCAGCTGCATTGTTGTTGTATGGCTCCAGGGTAGTAGGCAACATTCATCCATGTCAGTCATTCAGAATCCAGGTTACCAACTGCCTCAGGTTTCAGGTTGCCCTCTGTGTGACCCCAGCAGTCTCAGTCTGTATCAAGGCTCTAGCCAGCGCCTATTGTCCGTCAATTTACAGAAATTTGTGGCGTGTGGCAGAAAAAAATTTAAAGCAGTCCAGACAAAATCAGAAAACTTGGGTAAATTAAAAACAACAACCAAAGGACCACTGATGACAACTTTCAACCCCATTATTTGCCTCAGTTTCTCACTCTCAATGAGTCCAGCTTGTCTCAATCATGATCTTTCTGATGTATTAGGAGAAGAGATGCTGCTACAGTCTAATTCATGTAACCTAGCCTGTAACCTTGGAGTAGCTGCGTTAGGACTCATACCTTGAAGGGCCTTTGGGTCTTGTTACTTGGTGACCAATGAATAAAACAACACAGACCCCTAGGCCTGTCCGATGCTTTCGGCATTCAGGATATCTTTGATACTTCACTGACACTGGCACCCATGTGCTTGATCATACTAGAACAGGACTGTGTAGGTTCAGGGGATCAAAGTTAGAATAGCTGACAGCATTGACCCACATCAGGGTTAATCCGGGGTGAACAGACAATTTCAAGGGAATCCTGGAGGAAGTATCGATTTTCAAAAATCAATCATGTCCTACTGCACCATGTGAATGTCCTGATAAGGTATTGAATCCTCAAGGTGAAATATTTACTTGCAGAATATAGTTTTAAAGAATTTTTTTCAGTTGGAATGATAATGATTAACTATTTGGCACATTGACATATGCATCTTTTGCATGTGTTAAGCAAGTCCTTTATATGCATCGTTGTATTATAGAGACCACAAGCAAACAATTGTCATAGGACTTGGAGGATTTGTATTGAAAAAAGGCATCTAGATGACAAGTACATGACACCATCATTATACATGTAGACTGTTCCATTTTAAAGAGGGGTGATCTGATAAAAGTTACCTTGTAATTAATAAAGCACTTGTATATTTGCTGTCTGTACCACCCTCTCTAATGCATTCAACTCCTATAATAATATTCATGTTTATATATTCTGAGAAAAAAATACTGTAAGTGTAATTCCTGATTTTTTTCACCATACTTTTATAATGTTCACAGCTTTCACGGTCACTTCTGTACTGCAAAGTTATCATTCCTGCCAACAAATCAATTACCAACTTTCTTTATCCTGCACCTGCTGCCACTGTGAACATAAAGTTCCATGAACATTTTCAGACCGTGAAATTTTGCCACAATGAACCTGAAGTGAATTACATGTACAGTAGTGACAAATTTAGCGCCAACACTTCCATTGAAAGTATGAGAAATTTAGCATGTTCCATTTCTAAGCAGTTTTGCTGTTAATTTCCCCTTCAATTTTGTTTGGCCAGTATGGCAGTCTATTCCATACAATTTACAAGTTTTCTGAGTGCCAGGAATATATACTGCTCTAGTGACAACTTAATCGTTGCAAGATTGGTAGGTTCATATGCAATTACAAAGATCAATAATTTGTGACTTATTGTTCCAGACTGTATATAGGCAGATTAGACATTCATTTATCCAATATTCATGGCAGAGTTTTTTAAGGGTTATTTTAGAAGCCATGGAAAGAACTGAATGTAAAGGAAACCAACTTATTTTATGTTTTTTTGTCATGAAGTGGATAGTTTTCTATATTTTTGTAGGAAAACATTATCGCTGAAAATGAAATACTTAACATTTGGCTTTACCTTATAGGGTTAGATTTCCCAAACCTATGGATAGTTTATGCAGCATTTTTCCCATATGCAATATTGTTACATATCAGTGCACAAGAGGTTTGACTTTTGAGCCCGGCGACTAGCCAGGTATGTACAATTTTTCCTCAAACTTTGAAGTGGACCAGTAATATGAGAAAATTTCATTATTTTTGAAGTCTGATGTTCTATCTGTGGAAATGGACTGTCTTATTTTATATGGTACATATTGATCTGAAGTCATAAATATGCATAGATGGCGCAAAACAAGAATGACATGTGCACATGTAGGTCCAACGTCTAGACATGATGTCACACTGTTTGACTGCTATAACTTTCATGTTATTGTGTAATAATTCCATGGTCTAGTGCTCAGGGACGCTGCTTCCAAATTATGAGGTCAACCTCAGTATAAAGTACTATAAACCTTCGACTTAACCCACGGCCACTAAAGACTAGTTGTTTTTTTTTTATCAAAGTTTTGAAAATTTCCTCAAATAAATTGTACACCAAAAACTATAGAAAGCTTGATTCCAGACACCAATATTTTTCATGTTCAATAACTTCTATTTTGTTTTAGAAATATACATGTTTGAGGCAAAAAGCATAAGATCGATATACCAGTACTGGCTTTATAGGAGCGTGTCTATAAATTTTTTTCTACGGAAATCGTCCAAGACTTTTAGTACTAAAGACCCATAAGATTTGGCTGTCGGAAGAAGGTGTTCCTTTCTCCTATTAACGCTGAATTATAAGTACAACAGGTGTCTTGGGCAGGTAAAGAAAATTCTGACGTATCTCCTATTATTTCCCACAGTGCTCGTAAAGTAGATGCATTATTTCCCCTGCTGGTCATTAAATGGGCCATCTATGTGTGAAAGTAAAGTAAATGGAAGAAACGGTGTGGAGGGATAGTATGAAAAGTGCATACCGGTAATCTCTGTTAGATACTTGGATACTTTATTGACTCCATTAGCTTGTGTAAACATTTTAAAGTGACGATTAATCAGCTCAATGGGAATTTTATGTTTTGAAGAATAACTCAGGATTGAGATACTCAAAACACGTATCATTGAAAACAGTTAAAGCCTCTTCATTTTAGTGCTTTTAGCAGATAAATATCCATCATGGGTTGTGTGGGATAAGCCTTTAGATGGAATGCTAATCAACCATTGTCAATCGTACTATCAGTTTTAACTTACACGCAAGTTGCCAGGACATGTAGGTAACTGAAAACATAGACATTATGTTATACTTTATGCAAACCAAATTGACATTTGTTAATACCTGTAGCTGACTGGCTCTGTACATTTGTAACAATCTTTTTTGCTTAGCAGATGTGGAGGGCATCCAGGCATCTGTTTTATATACTATGGAGGGCTTCTGTTTTATGGTATTAAATACTAACATTATTTCATACTGCATATATAGCCTAGTCATATAAGACACTGTTAACAACACGAATTTCAAATAGCCAACAAAGCCACTGTGTATATGTGTTCGAACATATATTTCAGCATACAGTATGTACAATGTACTGTAATTCACTTTATGTTCACAGCAGCAAAAGGTGTTCACAGAATTGTATATTCACATTGTACAGAAAAAAGAAAGTCGGTAAAGTATTTGTTAAGTGTTAGGGATAGAAGTGACTGCAGAAACCTTGAACATAAAAATACCGTGAAAAAAAACAGGATGTACATGATTTCTGTTGGTCATGCGCCATTGTAAATATTACGTGGTTACAGGAATCTAACTTTGAATGTTGGACACGGAAGAAAATCAGTATGCTATATGCAGCTTACAGAATAATGGACATCATCATTGTAGAAACTTCCAAGTAATCATAGTTCTGCAGCAAAGCCATTGTTGGAGAGTTCCTGGGAAAGTTTAAGCTTGTCAGTTGGACTATTGATTGCAAACTTGGCTGAAGATGCTCAAAGCGGTTGATGTTGTATTCCGGTAGCGTGGGGCTCACGTGCCCGCCAGCTATCAAATGTGTGTCAGAATGCCAAACTGTTATTGGAGGCGTGGGGATACTGATGCATCTATAAGCACATAGCTGTATCAGGGAGATGGCGCGGCCGCTGCAAATTAAAGCCCTGGACTTCAACTTGTTCAAGGAGAAACATGAAACTTAATAGAAGTAAAGAGCTGGACGTGCAAGAAAGATTGACAGTGAGATTTTAGAAGAAAGATGTGCACAATACTGATGCATCTGTAAGCACATTTAATAAACTTATAAGTACAGAGCTTGACGTACATGTACCTACTTGTAACCTGCAACTTGCAGGAAAAAATGTGACATTTCAGAAAAAAGATGTACTTGTAATTTGACAACCTTAGCGAATACAGGTTCATTGTTATGAATCACATATATTGAGATGAAATGTTTCAAGCCCTTATAAGAAAAGCAGTTACTAGACTGTTCATGTATGTATCAATTCTGTATGCATAACAATCATTGCAGTGTTGATTGTTAAAATTGCCAACAGGTATATTCTCTGCTCAGAAAGCAATCACGTAGAACAAAGATTAATGAGTTTTTCATGCAAATCTATTTAGGGTTTTTGCTATCCGCCTGTTTTTGCTCCCATATGTGTACAAATATAGTACCAGCATTTTCACAGTAGGGTAAACATCATGACATATCTATCTAGAAATCATTCCCACTTATTTATATTGATGGGTATATTTGCAGTAGAATATCATTATAGAAAATTGTATTGTGAAAATTTACAAAATTCTACTGCAGCAACAATCAATGTGACACATGAGTGGTGTATATATTATACTTATAGTCTTCTTGAACTTAAGGAAACTACCTCTAGCAATATTGTGTCATACTTTGACAACCTTCCAATTGCAACTTGACCCTATGCAAAATATCAAAAGTTGGCGACATCTGGCGATGTTCCAGCTTGTCCCCTCTTGCAACCTTTGTGAAAGTTTTATCTTTATAAGCAGTGACGGCCCTAATCCATTGACTCTGGAGCTAGCCCAGTGTGGGTCTTCTTTGGTTTGTGGCTAGCATAGCAGGGCTCAAAATACTTTTCTTTTATTTACATGCCAAATTGCATGTTGGCAGAAAATTTTCACGTAATTTACATGCAAAACTGAAGACAATTCAGCCTCCAGTCTTCTGTAGATATACGTAAGAAAACCTCCAACACCACGTTTTGATGATAGGATGACACACCATTACCAGTGGACTAGCCCCCTGCTATACATGTAGTGATTGCACAACTGTGTGGCCCAAGGGCTTTAGAAACAGAGGGGTGCCGCCATATGCAACCATGCTAATGATTGCTGGGAGGACTAATAACTGAATTTAAATCTTGAAAATTACATCTAAATTGCAAGTTGCATGTGGGTATTTTGAGCCCTGGGATAGTATTCCAGTCAGGTATCTGTCAGGTCATGTAGAGTTGTCCAATCCTGCGGAGGAGGGCATGCCCGTAGGGGGGACTCGACACTGATGGATGGCGTACACATTAGGACTAATAACGCCACCAATCCAAGGGCAGGGATCCTCTGACCCCATCAAGTGTCCTTCCCAACGTGATACGTGCGGGGGACACCGAACGATCGGTGCATTTGTGACAAGTTATAGGAAGACAACCGGTAAAGATGATCTACTGTAAATCACGATTTTTTTCGCCTTACTTTCATATTTGCGTTTTTTGCGGTCACTTCTGTAACAGGAACATACTGGTATCATTACTGTGAACAAATAATTCACTGACTTTGAAGTTTCTTTTGCTACACCTGCCACCACCGCGAATGTAACTTCTGTGAACATGTCCATTTTTCTCAGACCACAAAGTTTTGCGACCGCAAACATTAAGTGATTTACATTATATCACCTGCTTTGTCTCCATTGTATTTGGTAAATAAACAATAAACATATTTCAAGTAAACAGGTTTGGACAAAGTCAAATTTTAATGACAAGGGTTTTTTGTTATTATACATTGTACTTGTGCAGGGCATCTCCTTGGTGCTGAAAATGTGATAGTTATGAAGCATCAAATCTTCCGCTGTGATAATAATGTGTTCTATTGTAGAAAAACTGCCACATTGCTGTAAGATCTCTTGAATAACGTACAATGTAAAATAATGCAAAATTAAGTGCAGGCTTCTCCTTGGTGCTGAAAATGTGGTGGTTGTGAAGCACTAAGTCTTCCACTGTGATATTGCCACATTGCTGTAAGATTTGTTATTTCATTAAAGACTTTGCTGTACTGTATCATATTTCACCAAATTAAATTCTGTTGTAGTAGACTTATTATGGTGAAGTTGCACCGGCCTGTTGATTTGATTATATGGATGACATCCTCTGGGAACTCTAAAACTGATGTGAGCATGGAAATTAAAAACTTTGGCAAAAAAGTTGCCTTAGTCATGAAATCTAGGTGGTCATGAAGGTTGAATAAATGACTAAACACACGGAGTATAATATGGGGAATAATAGACTGTTCATTTTCATTTCTTCACATTTTCTTCTTTCCCTTTGGAACTGATTTTGGAATTCTACGTCATAAGTATCGTTTTCCAATATTTTTGGTAATCATGGCATATATTTGCTTCGTTGTGGATGCTTTGTATGATTTACAGAATGGACAAAAACTTTTCTTTTTTTTGGAAACAGACGAAAGTTCTCACACGCATGGATGTCATCCATATAATCAAAGCAACATGGCCTAATACAGTCAAAGACCTAAAGTCATGTACAAGTTCTGCCCCGTGGGTATGGAATCATGAAAACTTCCTCTGCATTTCTACTGTACAGGGGTCTGTTGGCTGAAGATAAGCAGAAACATGAGCTGAGCTTCATGTACGTCGCACCGTCTGGCGCAGAGAAAGGTGACAATTTCATCTCCTACTTCATTCTCATAAAGAACCTGCAAGACATCTGGCTTTGACTGTAATAACCACTTAAGGAAGTGTTTACGAAATTAAGATAAGAGAAACACATTTCTGGGTGCCGTGAGTCTTAGCCAGACAAGGCTCAGCGTTGAGATATAAATCTATAAGGCTCGAGTTCATTTCCATGCTAGACGTCGTTTGCTGTATATGCCCAGAGGGACATTTTCAAACTGACATTCTGCAACCGTACATTAAGTTTATCTTGAAAGTTCATCTGTGTTGGTAGAAGTCATTATGAAGCAAGTTGGAACTGCAATTTTAACACAAAAGTTTGACTTATCCAAATTTTTGACCCCAATCTTTGTCAAGCAATGTGCATTCATACATTTATTTGTAGATGTAAGATATTTTCATTTTCTGGATACCTAAACCTAACAAAACCTAAATTGTATCTGAAGTCAA